ACATATTCTTAGAAATGGAATTCACGAGACTGTAGGTCTTGTTATATTTTTTAATTTCCTTTCTAAGCATCACATTGCTTTATAATGTTATCAACAGTGTATAATCCTTACTAGTTTCCTAAAGCATTTTACCACCTGTAAAGGCTTCTGAAAGGTCTACAGAGCAGTGTTTAGGGAGTTTGGAGCTGGAGGTGATGGTAGGAGGGTGGTAGAGGCAATGAAGAGCAGAGAGGCCAGAGAGGACAGCCGTTTGTTCTTGTGCCTACTGTGTTGCAGACGTATTTCCCTGCAGGGCTGGGTTGAAAAGACTGAGTGAGGCCTTTTTCAGGCTCAATAAGGTAATGTGTCCTGAGTTGACTGGTGATATGCACCATGAGAGCAGTCGGCAGATGGTGGTGCTATATTTTCCCAGAAGTTACATTTCTTTATCTCGAGAATAGGAAACCTAAAGGCGATTGTCAGTGCGAGGTGTGCACGGATGGGTGGTGCCCAGGGTGTTATGTGGCAGCAGCTGAAAGTCTGTGGTTTCTCATTTCATAATTACATATTTACATATAATTAACAGATGTGACAGTTCAAACAGCAAAGGCTGTCATCTCCGAGTAAGCAGCTGTCCTTAGAGGCCAGTGCTATGCGGGGATATCCCAGGAGGGATTCATTTCTCAGTGGGCAGAAAGAGCCAGGCCTCAGCCTCAGCAAGCGTCTGTCAGCCCTGCAAATGAGCACGGGTGAAACAGTGATAGGCCCAGGAAGGATCTTCACTGAATTTTATGCCTGGTGGTGGCATCAGAGTTTGTGTGATTTGTGGCAGTGGAATGTATGTGATTCTCATGCCCCCAGCAGTCAGCAGGGCACCTCCCTCCTCACTGTCAGAGCAGCACCCCTATCTTCAGGACATGCAGGCCCCCTAGTATCTGAGCTGTGCGAGGAGGAACTAGAGGGCAGTGCTGAAAAAAAAGAAAGAAAAAAACTTACACTTAGTGGGAGGTGCCTGTGGCTCAAGGAGTAGGGCACCGGCCCTATATGCCGGAGGTGGCAGGTTCAAACCCAGCCTTGGCCAAAAACCGCAAAAAAAAAAAAAAAAGAAAAAAGAAAGAAAGAAAGAAATTTACACTTAGCAGGGAAGTTGGTTGAACCTGCTAAGAGCCTTGAGAGCTTTTGACTAGGTCTCGAACATTTTGATTCTGATTCTGCCACCTAGCTGGGTGACCTTGGGGAAATCTCATAGTTTCGTCTTTCACAAAACCAGGGGCGTGGACAAGATAGATGGCCTGTGGCATTCCGAGGGTCTTAGGGAGCGTTAATAGACACAGCCGGGTTTCCACTGGTGCGGCCTGTAAAGAAGCCAGGCGGCTGCGACCCGGTCTCGGTCGGAGTGTCCTAGACACTCTCCGGCTCCCCTCTGTGCGCCACCTCTGTCTTCACTGCGCTGCGCAGCAGTCGGGCCGCAGCCCAGGAGGGTCTCCGCAGCGGCGGCGCTGACACCGCGGGCAGGGCCCGCCCCTGGTGGCCAGCCCAGGAACGGCAGCCGTCCTGGGAGGTGACCCAGTAGCCAGCAGGGTCTTTCAGCTGTCTCAAAGCAGCGGCCCGAGAGGATTGGATGGGGCCGATCTTTGTAAGAAAGTCTCCTTTTTTGAGACAAAGTAAAACCTTCCTGTCCCTTGTTGTGTTATTTCTTACCTGTCAAATGCATAAGAGAGAAATGTTGAATTGTTTAAAAGAAAAAGAAACGCTGGGTGTGTGTGGCAGAGCCAGGTGTGAGCAGGCTGCTGCCCTAGCAGCTCGGCTGGCCTTGGGTTGGGCCCTGTGTGGAAGAGGATGAGTAGGAAGAAGTGAATCACCATCAGTGGCTTTTTAAATTTTTGTCCCCAAGAGTATTTTGAGGGTTGGCCTTGCAGGATCTGTAGTGTTGCCTTGGGGACTTGGGGTCTCTTGTTTTGAGCAGAACCCTGGGGTGGGTGGCCAGAGCCTCAGCCCCAGACCCCAGAACCCTGTGGCCTTAAGGTAGAAGGGCCCAGGCAGGGAGGAACTAGAGTAGGGTGA